CCTTCCCCCGCCACCGGACTTCCTTGTGCCGGTTCCCCCCCCGGTAGACCCCCTCCACCCTCAGGTTCCTGCCCCCTCAGGTGTGTCCCAGGTAGACGCAGTTGACCCGGTCGAGGTTACTGGTGACTCTGGTGCTGCTGCGGGTGCTGAGCCTGGGGGTGCTGACTGTGGGGGTGCTGTGCGCGGGGGTGCCGAGCCTGGGGGTGCTACTGCGGAGGGTGCTGGGCCTGGGGGTGCTGAGCCGGGGGGTGCTGTGCCTGGAGCTGCTGAGCTAGGGGGTGCTGAGTCTGGGGGTGCTGAGTCTGGAGCTGCTGAGCCTGGGGGTGCTGGGTCTGGAGCTGCTGAGCCTAGGGGTGCTACGTCTGACGCTGCTGAGCCTGGGGGTGCTGCGTCTGGGGCTACTGAGATTGGGGTTTCTCCTGGTGCTGCGTCTCGGCGGGAGCCCCTCTCTCCACAGGAGCTGCGCGAATGGTTTGCTCGCCGCTGGAGGCGTACTGCCGGAGCTGGAGCTTCTTCGACCGTCGAGGGTGCTGGTGCCACCGGTCCCGGAGCTGCTGGGCCTGCGGGTCCTCTTGGAGCTGGAGCTGCTTGAGGTGTTGGTGCTGAGACTCCAGCTGTCTGTCCTGGAGGTGGTTCTGCTGCTGGTGCTGCTGGAGGTCCTGCCGTTGAGGGTGCTGGTGCTGTCCTTGCTGAGCCTGGAGCTGCTGCGCGGCCTCGGCCGTACTTCGTTCCACTTCTGCAGCAGGTTCTTGGTCTTTCTCCTCCGGTAGAGTGTCCACAGCCTGTCCAGTCACAGTCACTGTTGGAGCCTTCCTCCCCACTGCCTGCTCCCTCTCCTTACACTGGTCCTACTCGAGGTCTTGCTGAGCGTCGTGAGCCTGCGTCTCGTCCCGCGTCGCCTGTTCGTGCTGCTCGCGCTAGTGGTCGCGGTTCACGTCAGCGTCCTCCTCCTGTCCCTGGCACGCACCGGATGTCTCTGCGTCCGTCCACTGCTCCTCTGCGTGCCCCTTTGCCTTCTCCTCCTGAGTCCTCTCTTCCTGCGCTTGCCGACCCTGAGTCGGACTCCCTTCGTGCTGCCAGTCCTACTGTCACGTGTCTCCTTGCTACTGTCGTCACTGACCCCTCTTTTGAGTCCACTGCTGCGTCTGCTCTTGTCGCTGAGCTCATCGACTTTGCTGCTCGCTGTCGTCTAGACTACGCTGCTAGTCTTGTTGCTGAGTCTGCGTCTGTCTGTCCTCCGTCCGTCGGGGGTGAGTGTGCTCTTGGCACGGACGTCCTAGAGGACAGGCAGGAGGAGTTACAGTGTCTGGCTACTGCTTCACCTCATCTCGCGTCTGTACTGCTTGCTCCTGAGGGAGACCCGGATGCACTAGACATCCCGACTACGCGCTCCTACGCGGAGGCCGTAGAGGGTCCCTACTTGTCTCAGTGGCAGGCAGCTATGGATGCAGAGATGGCTTCCTGGAAGTCCACAGGCACCTACGTTGACGCGGTTCCCCCTCCTGGGCCGAACATCGTCAGTGGCATGTGGATCTTCAGGGTGAAGCGGCCGCCAGGCTCTCCACCTGTCTTCAAGGCGCGGTACGTGGCTCGTGGCTTCAGTCAGCGGCAGGGAGTTGACTACTTTTAGACCTTCTCTCCCACCCCGAAGATGACCACTCTTCGGGTGCTGCTACACATAGCCGCTCAGCGCGACTACGAGCTTCACTCTCTCGACTTCAGCACTGCGTTCCTGCAGGGTAGCCTGCACGAGGAGATCTGGCTGCGCCGTCCACCTGGCTTCACTGGGACTTTCCCTCCTGGTACCCACTGGAGCCTCCGACGGCCAGTCTACGGTCTCCGCCAGGCACCGCGTGAGTGGCACGACACACTGAGGACTACGCTTGCGGCTCTTGGGTTTGCTCCTTCTACTGCTGACCCGTCGCTGTTTCTGCGCACCGACACTTCACTGCCGCCGTTCTACATCCTCGTGTACGTCGACGACTTGGTCTTTGCCGCAGCGGACACTGCTGGACTCGCCTACGTGAAGTCCGAGCTGCTGAAGAGACACACGTGCACAGACCTGGGTGAACTGCGTAGCTACCTTGGCTTGCAGATCACTCGGGACAGAGCACGCCGCACCATTACCTTGACTCAGTCACACATGGTGCAGCAGGTCCTTCAGCGCTTCGGCTTCACGTACTCCTTGCCTCAGGCCACTCCTCTGTCTACCCGCCACTCGCTCTCAGCTCTGCCTTCGGATGAGTCCGTAGAGTCGAGTGGCCCGTACCCAGAGCTTGTTGGCTGCCTCATGTACCTGATGACCTGCACACGACCTGACCTTGCATACCCTCTGAGCATTCTTGCACGCTATGTTGCTCCTGGGAGACACCGACCAGAGCACATGGCTGCAGCGAAGAGGGTATTGCGCTACCTGTGCAGTACGTTGGGCATGGGGCTAGTGCTTGGAGGGCGGAGTCCAGTGGTCCTTACAGGTCACGCGGACGCTTCTTGGGCTGACGACCAGGCTACGCAGCGGTCGTCACAGGGTTACACCTTCAGCCTTGGTTCCGGCTCTGTCTCGTGGCGGGCTACTCGTTCGTCTTCGGTTCTCAGCTCCAGTTGTGAGGCTGAGATCTACGCAGGGGCCATGGTTGCACAGGAGTTTCGCTGGCTTACCTACCTGCTGACTGACCTTGGAGAGCCGCCTCGTTCTCCTCCAGTGCTGTACGTAGACAACAAGGCCATGCTGGCCTTGTGTCGAGAGCAGCGTCTGGAGCACAGAACAAAGCACATTGCTCTTCGCTACTTCCTTGCTCGTGAGCTACAGCAGCGTGGACAGTTGCGGCTTGCGTACGTGGCCTCTGAGGCCAACACTGCTGATGTGTTCACCAAGGCACTTGCGCCTTGTGACCATCAGCGCTTCTGCACCCAGCTGGGTCTTGTGCGTGTCTTGCCTCACTTGCTCTCCTCTTGACTTTACTTGTACTGTGACATATATATACCTGCTCTTGCTTGTCTAGCTTTATATATATGTCTGTACTCTTGCATGTGAACTGGCCTTTGGCCTTGCTCTTGTGCTCGGACTGTGTGGTGACTTTGTGATCCACCCTGAGCTTTGCTTTGTCTTGCTTGACTGGTCTTGTGACCCCTTGTTCTCCCCCACTTTGCCTATGGGGGTGTGTCAGAACATATATATACAGTAGCTTATACTTTTGTGTAGGCTGTAGTGGAGTATCCCATAGGGGGTACAACCCAGTTAGGGTTTCCTATTTGTACTCACTTCATTCATAGTTCATTCATCCTCGTTCTATTCTGAACAGACCCGAATCGAGTGCAGGGTCCGAATGTGAAGGGAACCGAATTTGCAAAACATCTGCCTGCTAAAGTAGAAATTGTTAAAGCGTTTGAACACATTTCAAAAAAAAATAAGTTTACGTGCGCTTATAATATAACAAGTTTTTTCAGGGGGTGCGCTTATAATCGAGCAGGGGATATACAGTAAGCGCCACACGCCAATTAAAAGCGCCAGGCGCTTATCCGAGGGTGTCGCTTATATCCGGGGTATGACGGTACATTAGAAAAAAAGCTTGCTGTGTCTTGTAATTGGGACGGTTTAGGGTGTCTTATAATTCTTATAAATGGACAAAAAACTGTTTAGAAGATACCCCCTAGTCATAAGATTGCCCTTAATCCCTATACTGGCTTAACTCGTACACACCGACAGTTGTCTTATAATCAGGAACACCCATCTATAAGAAACATCCGTTTTAACGACACCCCATGTCTTCAATTCGACACTATCTTATATCCGGGCGATGATGGTTACAGCGTCCCACATCAGAGAATCGCGCGAGGGCGATCTCAGCCGCCGCACAGGGGCGAGGATACCGTATGGCCCCGGATATAAGCGCAGGCCTATTATAAGCGCATGCGCTTGTATCTGGAGCAATGCGCTTATGGCCGATCCTCATTTATAAGCGCACCCCCTGTAAAACCTTGATTTATTATAAGCGCATGTATAATTTTAAAGTTTAAACCAGATTAAAACGGTAGCGATTTCAAATTTTGCAGTGAGGATACAACCATTTTCGCTTCGATTGACTTTCGAGGACCTCACATACTGCGCGTCCAGTCAGTATGAGCTGGCATTTCTGACAGTGACGTGTAAATTTGCCTCTGTGCGCCGGCAGAAAATCGCTCATGCTCGAATCTGAATTGTAACTCGCTACCACTTTGATTCGATTGAAATCGCAAGAAGGAGATGTACAGTTTGGTGCCAATGAATTATAAATTTGTATTTGTTATTATATAAGCGCATGCGCTTATAAATCTGACTCAATTATAAGCGCACCCCCCCAAAAAACACCGTTTTATTATAAGCGCAGGTGCGCTTCTATCCGGGGTATTACGGTACGTCACAACGCAGAGGGATGTGTCAAGCTCGCCCCGAACCAATGTACGAGCCTGACACACGGAGTCGCTTGATCGCAGCGCAGAGGCACAGTCGTTCCCGAGCCCCCCCGCCTGCCCCTTTTTCGCTCGCACAACCCACATGACAGTCGTTTCCAGCGCCCATCTTCCCTCCCCCCCCTCCCAACGATGTGCTGTCAGTCAGTCAGCTTCACGCCGTTTCGTTTCTCCTGCGAATCGCTCGCCCTCGAGCGAGTCAAACAAGTAGGAACGGATCTGGACTTGCTGCAAAAAGGGAAATCGTTACAGTATTAATTAGGATTTAATAGTAGAATTATTGATGCACTTATAATAAGTCAAGGTTTTACAGGGGGTGCACTTATAATTGAGGATCGGCCATAAGCGCATTGCTCCAGATATAAGCGCATGCGCTTAACATACGCCTGCGCTTATATCCGGGGTGATAAGGTAAATCAACAGCCGTAACTAACCCACAATGAGCCCCAATGACACACCATAAAACCCAATGAACTTCATGCCCTCCAAACGCATGGTACTATACAGCGGTATTCCATGTTGCATGTTAGTCCACCGATCAGGCTTACAATTTACGCGCTGACAAGGGATTGCTGCAAGGCTTGGCTTGTTTCACCATGGTTAGTGGTAACTTGGTCAGGGTTAGCCCGGGAAGTGTCACACCAGGTGAGGAAGGCAGGATGCAGGTTTGGCCAATCAGAGGTTGACCATGTGTACTCATGCAGCCATGCCACGTAGACCAGCTCCTGACTTGCAGCAGGCAGGCGAGTAATTATTGTGCACATGTCCTCCTCTGTCCTCTGCCAAAAATAAATTAACGATAATTGTACTTAGGATTAGGAGTGTGCACAATTGAGTAGGAAAAAAAGGGTAGATGATGCTGACAGGGGGGGGGGGGGGAAGGGGGGGAAGGGGAAAAAAATGCATGGAGGTTTTATAGAAAATGGAGATATAATAAGATGGGAAACTCTGAATATTGGGAAGGGGTGGTGGTGAGAAAGGGTTCCACGTCATCACTCACCATCAGACAGCCCATTTAAAAGCAGACCTACCTGTCGGTTACTATCAGTGGAGAGCAAGCCATCAGATGTGTTTAGACATTGACACATGCACGGTGACTTGTGAGTCCACTCAGGACCGATCTGAAAGCAAACCTACCTGTCGGTTACTGTCAGTGGAGAGCAGGCCGTCGGATGTGTTCGGACACTGACAAAGCAACGGCATCCAGTGCAGCAGCAGGTGCTCTTGCGACTTCACATCACATGACACCACGTGGGACGAGACCAAATCCAGCACAATACACGTCAGCTTCAGAAGATTCAGCTGCACACGTGGTGAAGATCGAACTGCCAGCTCAGACAGAACCCGAGCCTCCGCCCAAACCTCCACCACTTGTTCGATTCCCTTCCGACCCTGAAGCTTCAGCACCAGCCACAGCAGCTCCTGAGAAAGCTTCTCCGCTAGAGGATTCTCCCCGCCATTTCCCCCTGGCATCCGCCGAATTTTCCCATTTCCGCCGCTTCCGCTGATCCCGCCTCCTCCTCCGCTTGCTGCGACGGCCACTGCAGCAGCAGCAGCCGCGCCCCAAGAAACCTGATCCAAAATCTGCGTGAGGCCGAACGACGAAGCCTGGCCGCGTTTCAAGGAGCTCTCGAGGCGGGAAATGGTCCGGGAAAACGCCTGGAGAAGCGCTCGGCGATTGGCTTCAGAGAGATTGAGATCCTTGGAGCTGTCGTTGGCTCGCAGAAGCTCCTCCGCGACGCTCCGGATGAAACCATACTTGGGTGAGCTGGACGGAAGATCGGTCATCAAGCAGAGGGACTGACACAACGCGCGTTCCACGGAAGATGAAGAAGCAGAAGGGTCGGGATTAGCAGCAGATCCAGTTGTATGGAGAGGACGGATGGTGGCCGAGATGTTATCTGTTAGGAATTTGTCCCAGGATCGCGTGCGCCGGTTGCGAAGGCTTTCGCCAGCCGGCGAAGACGTGGACATGTTACGGAAAATCGTCGTCGCGTCGCTCGACCATTTGTGATCCGAAAGCTTTCCTAAAAGAATGATGATGTTGTCAACGTGAAGTCCGATTAACGGAAACTGTCGGAGGTAGGTGAGAGGCCATGAGGAGGCGAGAGGGAGGAGGAGGGTCGCCATGGTGGAAAGGAGGACAGCCGGGAGGAATAGAGGGAGTGTTACAAACGACAGTAGCTGCATGGCTGAGAGAAAGAAAGGTGCTCCGAGCTCGTCTGCCGCCTGATGCAAGCCGCGAGTGAAATATTCCAACATCTTTAAACCCGAGCTCAGTAATAGCCTCTGAAAGGTTAGGGGAGAGTTATGAGCAGGCACGAAGTAGCACACGGGAATCTGATATCGAAGGGCGTGCTACGCTGGTTGACTGAAAACGAGCGAGCGCGCCGAGTATGAAACTCGAAAATCCAGCCAATCTGCCATGCTTCGGACTGCGCACGGGCTAGTCAAGTGAGAATCTCGAGACGAGGACACGGGAGGAGGACAGCAAGCTATACCGGTCTGTTGGCCCCATAATCTATCAGAGACAGCTGCCATAGAAGTTGCCGCACTCAAACATGAAACAGCCCTGGTGAGAATTTCATGGTCATGATGGCTGCAAGCAAAAGTAGTCAAGGCGAGTTTCCGCAGCAGGAGAGGGGCAAGCAACAACCCAAGGCTTCCGGGGTGCGTCCCAAGTGGGCTTTGAGAACGTTTGAGTACGATAATGCTGCTCACCTGACTGGACATTTGCTTGCTGTGATGCGTGCTGACGAGGGCTGGAGCTAGGCCAGGGCCCTAAGTGGTTGTGTGGTCCAGATCTGGGAGATATGCAAAACAGATTCTAGGGAGACTGGTTCGGTATGAAGAGGATGGTTTGTGGTGACTTGGTTTCTGGTTCGGTATAGGTCAAGTCGAGGCAAACCTGTAATTGGACGCTTGTCTTTCCCTGTCAAGCAAGTTCGACTGGCTGGTGATTGGTTGTCACGTTTCTTGAGGCTGTCGAGCCAATTTGCCAAGCCACTGAAAACCTGAAAACTCGTCTCCTTACTACCATACCAAACCTTTCCAAAATTCACCCGACCGCGTCTCATGTTTCTTCCGAATCAGCCAAAGATAAGACGGTTGAAACAAGGTAACCACAAGTCCATCGCAGATTTTGAGGATGTAAGGAATTTTGAGGGATTCCTTACTAGGTCACACTGTACGCGTACAACCCCGACTTTCGGAAAACCAGGCTCGGTCCGCCGACCTCGCCATCCGAGCCACCACCGCGTCGCCTTCGGGTTTTCCAACCCCGAACCTGCACCCAACCATCTCGCGACCCCGCGACCTCGGCCTAGCTAGCTTCGCTATATTAATCCTAGGCCTCGTTGTGTTCTTAGACGTTGTAATCACTTCCGCATTATTGAGTCCTGCGCTGCACACTCTTTCCTTCACAACTCTTAACACTTGGTATCAGAGCCTACTTTCCTAGGTCACCCTCGCATTTCCGGGGTAGTTTGTAGAAGGGGAGCGATAGACTTGGTGGGCTGTAAAGCGGTCGGCCCGTGGAACAGATCCGATTATTCCACTCCGACTACGATAGCATTTATGCCTTCACCGAAGTCAGAAAAATCGCGAGCCAACCTCTGCACTTTCGACGAAGTCTGCGGCACATGGATCAGGCTGAGTTTAACGAGTTCATGCAACAGTTCCGTGCGATGCAGGCCAACTTGCAGGGTATGACTGCAGAGATGGAGCGTCAACGGAAGGAAAACGCCGAACTACACCAGGCGCGTGGTGAAGCGCGCCAGGATAGGAGTCGCCTGTCGTGGACGACGCAAGTAGCAGCACTGCACCAGATGAGCGGGTCTGGAGCGAGTTGGAAGGCGAGATAGATGTGGACGAGGCGAGGCAGGCGCAACAGCAGCAGTCACCACAACAGTCGCATGCAGCCCCGACACGTGCAGCAGCGACGACGACGACGTCGCCAACAGCATTGCCAACAGCCCAAGTGGCAGCAACGGCTTTGACAATTGTTAAAATCAAGCCGACGAACCCGCCCCCGTTTAACCCAAGTGACAAGTTCGTCACTGTTTCTGCATGGTTGTTCGGCGTGGAGGTATTTTTAAATGCTGCCATGATTTATGACGATGCCACCCGCATTAATTTCGCAGTTTCACTGTAGCGAGGACCTGCGCTGGAGTGGTGGAGGCGAACGCTGCAAGACGAAGGGACTTCGGCAGGAATAGCACGTGCGAACGACGGGACTTCGACACCTGTCACGCATCAAGCAGCATCAATTTTTGGGACGGCTACGATACGCACATGGAGGGAGTGGGGCACCGCCTTGCGAACCAGATTCGAGCACATATCCGCCTCGGACTCTACTCGCATGAAGCTGCGTGCCTGGAAGCAGCTGACTTCGGTCCAAGACTATACCAGCACATTCTGCAACTTGGCGGACCAAGTGGACGACATGAGCGATGCGGAGCGGTTGGATCGCTACGTGGCGGGCCCCAAATATGAGATACAGTACGAGGTCCGACGGACGCGGCCACGCAGATTCAACGACGCCGTCAGAGAAGCCGAGTCAACGGATGCACTGATACAGTGGGCGAGATCGAGCTCTCGGGAGGGCCCTCGATTTCGTGGATCGACTCAGCAGCCCACGATCAACGGCGTGGATGCACCAAGCCGAGCCCTCGGGCCGTGCTTTATATGCAACTAGCTGGGCCACCTGAAAAAAGACTGCCCGAGGCTTAAGCAGGGGAAGAAGAACGACGGGGAAGGGTCGGGAAAAGATGTGAGTCAGTAGCAGACGGGGCCCCTACTGACGAGACCCTTTCGCCCGACAATTACCATCCACACCGGGTCGTGGTACCGATCAGAGCTATCGACCAGAACCGGACGAATAACGTGGGTGAACACGTGGACTACCCTGTGCTGGTAGTGGGGAGGGTTAACGGTCATAAAATAAAAAATTTCGTTGACGGTGGGGCGAGCCAAAAAATCTCATCAACCTGGCAACGGCCAAAAAAAAAAAAGGGTGAAGCTGACCAGGTGTCTACCGGAGATCGATGCACGTCTAGTGGACGGGACACCGCTGGCCATCCGAGATGAGGCGCGAAAAAATCGGATACGGTGCGGCGACAAATTCGGGTTTGGCATGAAGATGTTGGCGACGACGTTGGACGGCTGCGATGTGCTGCTGGGAAGGGACTAGCTGCAGCGCTTCAATCCGACGATCGATTGGACGACTTGGGCGTACGTCGTGCAAGGATATGGAGGGAAGACGACGCTTCCGAAATGGACGGGGCCGGAGCCGGTGACGACACGTGTCAACGCGGTCAACATGGCGCGAGCAATGAACAGCGGAGCTCAGGCCTTCTTGGTGCACTTGTACGAGGTGGCAGCTTCCGAAAAAATCGCGGGCATCGACACCCTCTGCGCAGCAGTCCCCAAGGAACTGGCGAGCACTATTCGGAGGTATCCCGAAATTCTCGCGGATGACCTCCCGTATGGCCTGCCCACCCAACGCCCTGAGGATCATCGGATCCAGCTGGAGCCCAGCGAGCAACCTACTGTTCGGACACAGTGGCGGCTCAGCCAACCAGAGCTCGCCGAGTTGCGGGCCCAGCTGGATTACCTGCTCGCCAAAAGATTTATCCGGCCAAGCACGTCGCCGTATGCAGCGCCGATACTATTCACACCGAAGTAAGATGGGGGCCTACGCATGTGCATTGATTATCGGGCGCTGAATCGGGTCACGATAAAATCGTGTTACCCGATCCCGCGAACTGACGATATGCTGGATCAACTTCGTGGAGCTCGATACTTCTCGAAAATCGACCTGCGAGGAGGCTACCACCAAATTCGCGTGTTCGCCGACGAGTGTCCGAAGACAGCGTTTCGCACACGATACGGCAGCTACGAATTTACGGTGATGTCGTTCAGACTGAAAAACGCACCCTCAACGTTCCAGCTCACAATGAACGGGATTTTCCGAGACATGCTGGACAAAAAAGTCATCGTGTACCTGGACGACATCCTGGTGTACAGCGCGACAAAGGAAGACCACCTGCGGGATTTAGAGGAGGTGTTCTGGCGTTTACAGGGGCATCGGCTAATTACGAAGGGGTCTAAGTGCGAGTTCCTGAAGCCGGAGTTGGAGTTTTTTGGGCACGTGGTTTCTGGCGACGGAATCAAAATCGACCCACGTAAAATGGACGCCATCGTTAAGTGGAAGCCGCCGACTAATATCCCTGAGTTGCGAAGTTTTTTGGGGTTTGTTAATTACGTTCGCCGTTTTGTACCTAATATGGCAGGGATAACCAAGCCGCTGACCGACCTACTGCATCAAAAACATTTTGGGTTCGCCTTCGACGGGGGGAGAGGGAGCAGTCGCCTTCGACGCCCTCAAAAACATTTTGGGTTCGCCCCCGGTGCTCCGCCTCGCCGACCCATCCCGACCGTTCGAAGTCGTCACGGACGCCAGCGATTTTGCCGTCGGCGCCGTCCTGCTACAGGACTTCGGCAACGGGCTGCAACCCATCACATACGAATCACGCAAGATGCAGCCATCCGAGCGCAACTACCCAATCCACGACAAAGAAATGCTGGCCATCGTCTATGCATTTCGTACGTGGCGCTGCTACCTCACGGGAGCCGACGTGACCATCCGAACCGACCACAAATCGCTACAGTACATTGTCAGAACATTATAGCTTATGCTGTTGTGTAGGCTGTAGTGGGGTATCCCATAGGGGGTACAACCCAATTAGGGTTAGTACTTGTACCCACTTCTTTCATAGTTCATTCAT